CTCATTTTCAGGTAGGGGAGTATGATTTTAGGCAAAAGAGGTGGAGTTAGTACGGCCATCCAATCATGGGCCAGGCATTTGTTTATAGACATGTTAAACAATAGTAGTTGTGGGAGGGTTGAGAGAGATGGACCAATGAGAGGTTTTGTTGTATTAACAGAGTTGAGTAGGTAGGGGAGGGGGATCACAAGGGAAGGTAGGGCTTGTTTCCTTACTACTGTCACAACATCTGGGGACCCTGGTCTGTCCATCCAAGCTGACCACACACACATCAAAGGGTTGAACAGATACCTCTGACCACACCTGTAATTAACCTGACAACACCTGAGGTGTACCTGTAACTGACAAAAACAATGGGGTAGACAGTAGCCACTGTATATTGTACACACAGGTAATGGGTAGACAATAACATAGGTGTGAAAGGGAAAGCCATAGACAATGACCACCTGGGAAAGCTCAGGTGAGACTGTAAAGGTAGCCTCCCTGGTGTGGTACTTGTCTAATTAGGATGTTTTTATAACCATTACAACTGTACATGGTGAGAAAATTCCTTTGTGTTGTGTATCTGAGTCAATATTTAACTTCTGTTATGATATATTAGTTTCATTTTTTATTCAAGATTTTAATTCCAGTATGGAGTAAATTAAAATTTCTGTGTAATAACCTACCCATAATAAGTGGTACCTGCTGATAAATGGAAAATATATTATATTCTATAAACACTTTAATATAGTTAGAGTAACTAACATTCTTTCATTATAAATAAAGTAAAACAGAAATACATTTTGTTTATATTCCATTTGAAATATTTTATTTTCTCTGTAATAGCATATTAAGATATGCACATTAGCTCTTGCAATAATTGAACCAATGTTAAGTGTGCATATGTGTGTGATGAGGGACACAGTGCTTTCTAAAACACTTCATGTCGAAATAATAGGTGACCATCAAAAGCATATTGGAAAATTTAAAACTCGTCAAATAAGAAAAGAGAAAGTACAAACATAGATATAACTGCATTGTTTGATTATTTTAAAGAACTTCACTGTGATTTGGGATATAGTTTGGATGAATTATTGTTGAACATCAATCAAGATGATTCCATTATAAAACAACCAATATAAGAAATTAAGAAATGTATCAAAGGTTTGAAAAATAATAAATCATCAGGAAATGACTTGATTGTAAACAAGTACATTTCCTCTACATGTGAATTTATGCTACCTATATGTACAATTATTTAATGTCATGTTTAATACGGGAATAATTACCACAATATGGCTGGAAGGGAATATTATGCCCATATATAAAAACAAAGGTGATCAACTTGATCCTGCAAATTATCGCCAATTACTTTATTGAGCTGTATGGGGAAACTTTTCATGTCAATTTTGAATAACAGGTTGGGAAGATTCTCTGATCAAGTTGACCTCCTCTGCAAAATCAGTCTGATTTTCGTAAAGGATATTCTACAATTGACAATAACTTTATAACACATGTTCTATTTGAATTATTGAAAATAAGTAAAAAGAAAATGTATTGTGCATTTATTGACTTTCAAAAAGCCTTTGACTCGGTTTGGCATACAGGATTATGGCAAAAATAAGTAAACTGTAATATTACCGGAAAATTGTTTAAAGTAATTTTTGATCTTTATGATGGTATTAAATCCAGAATAGCTTTGAATAATTGTAAATCTGAATATTTCCCATGTAATATTGGAGTTAGACAAGGCGAAAACTTATCGCCGATTTTGTTCTCTCTCTACTTAAATGACCTTGAACAATTTTTACAAGGTCAAGGTATTAAAGGTTTAGAATCTGTAAATGATACTCTGCAAAATGAGTTGTCTATATATCTGTACTTGGCTATTTTATTATATGCAGATGATACAGTTCTGTTTGCTGAAACACCAGCGGATTTACAAAAACAATTAGATAGTTTTCAGCTATATTGCGAAATGTGGAAACTAAAAGTAAATGTATTGAGGACAAAAATAATGATCTTTTCAAAAGGTCGTTTAAATAGAAATCTAAGGTTTACTTATAATAATGATGAAATCGAGATTGTAAAGGAATTGAAATATCTTGGTTTTATGTTAAGTAGATCAGGTGGATATGCCTGTAACAAAAAATACCTGGTGTCTCAAGCAACAGAAGCTATGTTTGCAGTATTGAGGAAGTGTAGACTTCATAACTTGTCAATATATTGTCAATTAGACTTATTTGACAAAATTATAAAACCAATTTTATTGTATGGTTGCGAAATATGGGGTTTCAGTAATTTAAATATGATCGAGCGTTTACATCTTAAATTTTTGTAAATTCATACTTCATGTAAATAAGTCTATGCTAAATTTTATAGTGTATGGCGAATTGGGGAGATATCCCCTATCAATAAATATAAAAGTGAGAACATCACTTTCTGGGCAAACCTTGTAGAAGCAGATTATAATAAAATATCCAGTATTTTGTATAAATTACTATTTCACAAAATTGCAGAAGAAGAGGGGGAAACAGGTTATTACATCCCCTGGATGAGATATGTGAAAAGTATACTTGATGAGTGTGGATTATCCAATACATGGATATCACAAACATTTCCAAATATTTTGTGGTTAAACTGTTGAACGAATTTTATTTTACCAATTTTTGCAAAATTGGGATTCTGACAAAAATGAATCCAGCAAAGGAATAAATTATAAATTATTTAAAGATGAACTAAAATAAGAAAATTATCTAAATATCCTGTCTACAAAAAATGCCATTATGTTCTGTAAATTTAGAACTGGCAATGCCAGACTTTCAATAGAAAGATGAAGATGGTTAAATATAGAGAGAAGAAATAGAATATGCCATTTGTGTAATACTGAAGTTGGAGATGAATTTCATTATGTGTTTAATTGTCCAAATTTTTCAAATGAAAGAAAATTGTATATTCCTAATTATTGTACCAGGCAACCAAACTGTTTAAAATTCCAGCAACAAATAACAAAGTTTTACTAGTTAAAATATACAAATATAGTAATAGAGAGTGTCTGTTCTCCTGGTTAAAACAGCACATACTCTATCTTGAATGTACCCATTGTATATTTTCTTAATATCACATGTAAATAGTGGTTTAAAAGAATAAAATCTTGTCTTGTCTTGCCGTAAAAAGCTTAGTGAAGCAGGGTGAAGAAATTAAGTGATTTGTACAATTAACCTTGTACCAACAATGGGTAACTTATGTAATTATATAAGTCATCAAATTTAGTTATATTTATCAACATCTAAATGTATTCAACCAAATTTAAGTATTCATCACCGATAATATAGCTGCTCTATGGCCCCATTAGCACCATTAACCGTAGGATTAAAAGCTCAATCCTGACCCCTATAGGCAGTATCTTTATTTACATATATAAGATATTTTAATCTAAATGAGAAAATACTAACATAGGCTATTCCTGTTGTTTGATCCATTAATCAATAAAATATCTAAACCGAAGTTAATTTAACAGTTTGACTCTCTATTCCAAAAATTATTCACTTGTCCATACTAACCCTGTGTTAAATATCTATATGTACTTTTACCACATGCTGTAACTGGAAGGGGAGAAGATTTATAGGACTATGCATGTTGTCTAATGCTTTTGTTTTGGAAACAATGGATATCTTGAATTGAAATTGAAGAAAATATCTTGAATTGAAATTGAAGAAAATATCTTGAATTGAAATTGAAGAAAATATCTTGAATTGAAATTGAAGAAAATATCTTGAATTGAAATTGAAGAAAATATCTTGAATTGAAATTGAAGAAAATATCTTGAATTGAAATTGAAGAAAATATCTNAATATCTTGAACTGAAATTGAAGAAAATATCTTGAATGAAATATCTTGAATAATATATCTTAAATAATATATCTTAAATTGAATAAAATAAATATCTTGATTTGAAATTGAAAAAAATAAATATCTTGAATTGAATTTGAGTAAAAGATCTGGATTTGAAATTGTATCAAATATCATGCATTTGGAATCAATACGAAAAATGAGTATGGGTTAGTTTAAAAAGAATGGATAGGCTTGAAACCAAGCAAGTGCATGTTGATGGATGGTAAATATGATACTGATAAACATTAGATACAAATGTCAACGGCAGATATTTCCACTTGGGATATATTCATCAGTAAAACACTGTAATACCAGATTGTTTATGTTGTTTAAAGCATTGGTTATTCCAATAAAGTTACCGACAAGTGTTCATAGTTATGTTTGATGTGTATCAACTTCAGTTGTTCATTCACACCAGTAAAGAATAAATATCCTTAATAACTGTTGAAAATTTTTGAATAGACAATTTTAACTTTTCATTTGATGATAGAGTTCTTGCCAGAAACATCCTTTTAATGAATGGCAACACTTTGTGCTCTCCATGATATGAAAGATTTTATAAAAAATAAAAAAGATGTTGTTTTATACCTAGTCTATATCAGTGCTCAATTGTTTTAAGAGTGAAGAAGTTTTGAAGATACTAGACTGTGTGTCATATCCATACTTACCAACTCTCCCTATTTAGGAGGTAGACCCTCAATTTTGGACCCTTATATTTGGTAGTTTCAACCAGAGAGTTTTCTGAACTATACCTAAATTCTAATATCTAATGATCTCATCTGTAAGAACAACTCAAAATATGCAATTTTAAAGTCTCTAGGGGGTATAAGTAACATTTACTGTATCTTCTTAAAATGATATGTGACCTTCGAAGGTTTCAAGGTTAAGGTCAAACACTGCAGGGACATGGATTCAATCATGATTTTAGCTTCATTAGTATTATCAATTCATGAAAATGAAAGTGTAACAATCACAGCCATTTCCTTATAAGATGACATTTTATTTATTAAAATTTGAATTTAAAAAGATTGTGAGTTTGTGTCCGAAGGAGGTTATACTAAGTGTCAGTTTGTTTACTGGGTGATGATGGTTTTAATTACGAGACTGTTTAATTATGTCCACAGAAGGGTACAGTGGAGTGTCAGTCCGTCCAGTGTGTAGATTCCTGTACCCATCCTGCAGACGTCACTGACTGTTGTCCTTCCTGTACCAACTGTTACTACGATGGCAGCATCCGTACCAACAGCATGAACTTTGTGTCCAGCGACTGTAAACAGTGCGTGTGTGTGGTAAGTAGTCTGTCAGGTAAATGAGTCATGTATATTCTCCTTTGTATTTGGTGTCCTTGGATCCACCGATGATCAATGTCTATATTGCTGATTAAGACTTTTATTGTAAGGTGTACAGCAGCAAAAAACCATTGTTACTATTTGAAATACATTAATTAATTATGACTTGTTAGAATGATACTTTGACTTAATAGAAGAAAATCTTGAAAATTACAATTACTCCAAACAATTACACTGTAGTTGTGGAAAACTTTGAGACTGATGTGATTTTGTTTTAGCCGACCACACCTTGTGTGCCTGTGATAGACTCGTGGGACTTTCACAACCCAGCCTGGGTAGGATTGCCAGTACTGAGGCTATACCTCACCATCCTGTAGTACTGACACAGTTGTCTCCCTTCCTTATCCATCACAAAACATAGTGAATCAAACACCATACATTTTATTTATCACCAAACACAGCTAGTCAGGACAGAACAAATATTTATCTTTATTCTTACCTTGGTACTTCAAATTGTTTAACTGGAAATACACAAAAGTTATACTTGGTGAAGGTCATGTGATATTTATTAATGCACTTAAGATACAAGGAAGGAAGACAACTCTAAATTAAGTTTGGCTGCCAGATTAATTATAGAAATATGTAGTGTTTTGCTCAGTTGTTTGGGATCACAGTACAATACCATACATATACTGAAGTAATATGAAAAATAATTCTTAATTTGAAATTTGGAAAAGAAATTTTAGATTTGATATAAAGTATAAAATGCCACATTGCATTGAATCAGGAATATCATATCAAAGTTTTGAAATTTAGAAAAGTAAAGAGAAAACTTGTAAAAAATACAGAAATTTCGACAATATAAGTTTGTTAATGTGTCCATAAATACCAGTATCTCCCATCCTTTACACATGCAGGTTTTAAGTTAGTGCAGTATGTGCTACTCATATTTAGGAAGTGTCATTTGCAAACGGGCTTAATCACAATGTCTGTTCATTGGTTGATGGTTACCGAGGTTATCGAGAAGCACAATGATTTGATGGATGAAAATGTCTCCAAAAATTGTTTCATTAACAAATTCAAATCTGAAAAACTACAAACTAATTTGGTGTGTTCTTAAAAATAACGTAAGACATAGACCTATTACTTCATTCCAAACAGCTGTGTAACTATTTTAACCAATGACTGGTGATCCCTTGTATTTCAGACTCCTGTTGTGGTACAGTGTGTGTTGTGGAACTCAACACTGTAAACATACTTATAGAACTTCTAGACCTAGTATTATAGTGTTAAATGGTGCTGGATGCTGTAGATTTGGAACTTTTCTAACAGTCTGCTACACTAGAATGTTCTAATGAATTCTGACTTCATTTCAAATTTTAAAAGTTTATGTGGTGCGATGATTGATAGATTTCAGTTGCAGTGTTCATCCCCAGCACTCGTACATTGTCTTACTAAGCAGACTGTTATAAGTATGTTTATAGTTCTCAGTAAAACTTCTACGTAACGCCAAACATTTCCTCTGTGCCTCAGCTTTAATAGAAGGAATCCTGTTGGCTGTTTTATGTTGTTTGTTTGTCTGTATGTCTGTCTTGTAGTCACTGTGCTATTGTCAAGTATGTGAAGTATAACATACAAATCAATAATAAAGAATATTTTGTTTGATGTCTGTTTTAGAAGTTTTACTATATACCTGTTGAGAATAGGTAATGGCTGTAAAATAGATTTATTATCAGTATCTTATAGTAACCATTGTCGCAGCCGTCGCCCTTTTACAACAAAACCTAAGATAGCGTATAGTAGTGTTTGATGGCAGCTGCTTTGTGTAATAAATCTTATCATACAAGGAATCGTACATAATCTGTATAGTAATTCTTATCTTGCAGGGAATCTTATTACCTTTAAGATGAATACTATAATTGTTTCTATTTTTCTATATAGCCACCATTTGTCAGTAAAACCTTGTTATACTGCCACCATTTGTCAGTAAAACCTTGTTATTCTGTCACCATTTGGCAGTAAAACCAGGTTTTACTGCCACCATTAGTCAGTAAAACCTTGTTATACTGCCACTATTTGTCAGTAAAACCTTGTTATAATGCCACCATTTGTCAGTAAAACTTGTTATTCTGCCACTATTTGTCAGTAAAACCTTGTTTTACTGCCACCATTTGTCTGGCACCATTAGTCAGTCAGTAAAACCTTGTTATTCTGCCACCATTTGTCAGTCAGTAAAACCTTGTTATACTGCCACCATTAGTCAGTCAGTAAAACCTTGTTATACTGCCACTATTTGTATGGCAGTAAAACCTTGTTATAATGCCACCATTATACAGTAAAACCTTGTTATACTGCCACCATCAGTCAGTCAGTAAAACCTTGTTATTCTGCCACCATTTGTCCAGCAGGTGATACATGAAGGGCATTATGTTTTAGTATAAAGTGGTAAAATTTAGTATAAAGTGGTAAACATGGGACATTATATTAAGGTTTTACAGTAGATTGGTAAGGGAGAGACATTTTATCAAGGTTAATTTACTGTATGGACATACATAGGGATATTACTATTTGATACATTTTTCTATATTATGTGTATTTGTTAACTAGCTTTTCAATGAAGTATCTGTATGTTTCACTGTTTAAATGTTCTTTTGAATATGTTTGTGAATGGAATTTTCTCAAATTTGTTGAAGAATTAATGTGATTATAAAAGGTTAACCTGTACATGTGTGTCTGTTTTGGTAGAATGGGAATGTGAACTGCCAGAACCTGGTGTGTCCACCACTGACATGTACCAACCCTGTACAGATCCAAGGAGATTGTTGCCCTATCTGTAGGGATATCTCACCAACAGTCCCAGGTGAGTTACCTCCCTTTAATTTACAGGTTCCCCCCTTCTGTAAATTGATAATTGTTTTGCCTGTACCTGTTTACTCCTTTCATGGTGATCTCAGTTGAAAAATAGAATCTGTTTTGAGGTGATATTTTGATATGCTAGACTCCTATTGGTTGTCTGGTCTGTTGGTTCAGTCAACAAGGTTAGGGCCAATGACCACACAATGTTCCAAATACAATCTCAGAATATCCTCAAGCTGCCTTTGGTTGGGGAACCATTCAATATTGGGATGTTCTTATCTTTTTAACAACAGATAGGCTTGGTAAATGATACAAATATAGTATAATCATTAAAAGATAAATAAAAATATATATTTATGATTTACAAAACACAATAAAATGTCTGGGTTTTTTAAAAAACTAAAATGAACAAAGAAAGAAATATTATGAAGATATGTTTTTTACCTTGTTTATAGAGTTCACGAGTTAATATTATTTACCCTGTAGTGTGTACCTTCCTGGGTGAGCGATACGAGGAAGGCACAGCATTCAAACACCCGGAGGATGGCTGTCGTACCTGTACCTGTCGCTTAGGTCGTGTTTCGTGTCAGGACCCTGTGTGTGACATCAGGTGTGAACACCCTCGTCCCGACACCTGCTGTCCCGTCTGTGATGACTGTCTGTTTGAGGGACAACTCTACCCAAACACTATGTCCTTCCAACCGGATACCTGTAGGAATTGTCGCTGTGATGTAAGCTGACCCTCTCTCCTTCCCCTCATCCCGTCTCCCCTCCTCTCCCTCTCTCTTTCTCCCACCTCACCTCATCTTGACCCTCGACCCCTGACCCTCTCTTCTTCCACTCATCCTGTATCCCCTCTAACCTCCTCTCCCTCTCCTTCTCCCACCTCACCTCATCTTGACCCTCGACCCCTGACCCTCTCTCCTTCCCCTTATTCTGTATACTCTCTCACCTCCTCTCCCTCTCTCTTTCTCCCACCTCACCTCATCTTGATCTTCGACCCCCGACCCTGGACCATCTCTCCTGCCAATCATCCTGTCTCCCCTCTCATCTTCTCTTCCTCTCTCTTTCTCCCACCTCATCTCCCCTTTCCGGCCTCCAACTCCTTGACCCTCATACCAACTGCCCCCTGTGTGCAGTCTCCTCCATGGTGAGCAACATCTCTATCATAACTTACTATCCTTCAAACCTGATTGGTATAAAAACTGCCGCTGTGATGTAAATGGAACCTAGAACCCTTTTTATTTTTATAACGAAGTTAGAGAGGGTATACTGGAATCACCCTGTCTGTCTGTCTGTCTGTCGTCGGCAGTAACTTGTCCGGAAAATTCCTCCTTAACTAACAGGTGGATTTCATTGAAACTTTGTATGAATGATCGGTATCTTATGTAGTTGTGCACTGGCATTTAATTTGAGGTTTCAACCCTTTTTGATGGAGTTATGCCCCTTTGTGCGAAATACTCGTCCATGTAACTCCTCCTTAACGAACAGGAGGATTTCATTGAAACTTTGTATGAATGATCGGTATCTTATGTTGTTGTGCACTGGCATTTAATTTGAGGTTTCAACCCTTTTTTATTGAGGTATTGCCCTTTGGGGGAAATTCTTTTTTATTTTTTTGTTTTAATAAAATAGTGATTACCATAACTCATTACTGGTGGGAGACTATATTGATTTGCATAAGTAAGCCTTTAGCGTACAGTTCTGGTTTATACACGAGTGGGGGTATTAGTTAGCCTTTGGCTTACAGTTCTAGTAAGGTTACCTGAACTTTGCTCAAGTGACCTATTCTAATCGCTTTCCATCAGGCGGTGTCCGTCGTGCGTAAACTTTTTACATTTTCAACTTCTTCTCAAGAACCGGTGGATGGATTGTTTTCAAACTTGGTCAGAATCATCCTTGGTAGATGAGGCTACAAAATTGAAAAATTGGGATTCCTACCCCAACCCCTGGGGCCAGGGCGGAGCCCCAAAAGTAAAAATTAACCAATATTTCAAAAATCTTCTTCTCCAGACTCAGGTACTACAGTCATTTTCTCTGGATGGAAAGAAAGATCATCAGAGGCTTTACCTAAATTGTAAATTTCAGGACCCCAAGCTATCTGTTCTCCCTTGGGGAGGGGGTAAAGTTTACTATAGTTTATGTATGGAAAGTTTACTATAGTTTATGTATGGAAATAATACTTTTGGGTATATTTTATCCATTTTCAGCAGAAAATTACTCAAACTCAGAAGCCTCTTTGGTGAATGAGAGTATTACTTTGTAAGATTGGGATTCCTGCCCCATCCCCAGGGGCTAGGGCGGGGCCCCAAAGGGAACATTTACCAAATTTTCAAATTCTTATCCCTTGATGACATGACAAGTATTGTATTTCACTTAGTTTACATGCTGATTTCCACATCACATCTAAACAATAAAATAAAGCTACAGAATCTGTATGATGGGCCAGTAGCTCCAGAATCTGTATGATGGGCCAGTAGCTCCATTTTAGCTGTTCTTTGTCTCCCAAATCACAGGAAGGAACAGTGACGTGTCAGGAAAGGACATGTCCAGACCTTGGATGTGCTCAGACCATGAAGGTTCCTGGACAGTGTTGTGAAGTCTGTAGTGGTATGTATCTTAATTATGTTTTGTACATTCTTCCTCTGTGTATTACCAGCATGACTTGTGAATGTTGTAGGATTAGCATGAACTGTCATATTTGCATTAAGAAATTCTTTATTTCCAAAAAAAGGAAAAGTAACCTATGGTTACCTTATTGCTGTAATCGGACATATGTGTAGATTTGTTATTCACTTATATGTGCCTTTATGCCTAAGCTAATGTTCAGGAAAACCATGTTTTGTGTCTGTGCAGCCTGCTAGTTACACAAGTAGTGAAGTTCTGTTGTAATGTTGCATGCTTTTTACAAACAAAATAGATGCTGACCCCTTTTTTGTGGAACGAATAACATTGACCGCAAAGGTTGAAGGTGAAAAAAAGGTGTTGCCAGTTATCACGGAGTTGATACATCTGGTCCCTGAGCCAGCAGGTAACGATAGTGGAAGTGTAGTCTCCTCTCTATCAGACTGGTCACAAACATGTAATCCCCTCTCTATCAGACTGGTCACAAACATGTAGTCCCCTCTCTGTCACATATTAGTCCTCACTCCTTCACGTAACCTCCCCTGTCACAGGGAACTCTTATCTCACAGTTTTCACATGTAGGAAAGTATGGGAGGAAAAGAGTCATCCTCTATGGTTATGAAAGGGAAATCTCAACCCTCGAGGAAGTCGATGGTTTGACATCCAACAATATTACCCGAGGGTTGAGATTTTTCTGCAACATTTGTCTATTATCTGTCTGCCCTACAGCACTCTCCCTATTTCATTGTTCCTCTCTCTGTTACAGTCCTCTTTTAAAGTCCCCGCTCCATTCTGTTTATTACTCAGTCCCTCTCTGCATGTATAGTTACATCTGTGACAAGTGTTTTTGCTTATCTTTCACAAGTCGCACCTGTGTTTGCATCTAGATCACCTTGCCTGAATCCACCTATAACATTGTGTTGATTTCTGGTGTGAAGTGTTAGTGCAGTAGTAATGTGTGTAACTCCCACAAATGTAATGTTAATATGATGGGCAAATGTTGGTATGAAATTCAACGCTAATTATTGACTGCTCATCACAGCATTAACATTCCAATAGCTAATATTCCCCTCAGCACTCCTCATTATTTGTGTATGTGTTGCAGTCAGGTCACTACACCACCATAACCTGTGTGGGTATAGAATACACACCTGACAATACACCAGCTAACTGGTATGCATGCATATATTCTGTAACACTTGTAAATTTCAAGTATTTGTTCTTTCTTGTGTTATATATTTTGGAAACAGCATTAAAAGTGTAACTATTTAAACATTTACTGAAAAGTAGTTTGTCAGGAATGTAAAATCTGAAAGACAAGGTCACAATTAGAAATGGAAGATAAAACCATTTTTAGCTCACCTGGCCCACAGGGCCAAGTGAGCTTATGCCGTGGTGCGGCGTCCGGCGTCAATATTTTACTTTAAACAACTTCTTCTTAATAACCGAAAAGCCTAGGGTGCCGATATTTGGCCAGAAGCAAACTGGGATGAAGGGCTTCAAAGTTTTTAACATTATTGACCTTCACCCATTTTCAAGGTCACAAGGGTCAAATATGTTAAAAACTTTAAACATCTTCTTCTCGATAACCAAACTGCCCAGGGAGATGATATTTGGCCAGTAGCATGCTTGGGTGAAGGGCTACCAAGTTTGTTCAAATGAATGAACTTGACCCACTTTCTAAGGTCACAGGGGTCAAATATGTTAAAATCTTCAAACGTCTTCCTCTCAATAACCAAAAGGCCTAGGGTAGCGATATTAGGCATGTAGCATGCTGGGATGAAGGGCTACCAAGTTTGTTCAAATGAATGACCTTGACCCACTTTCAAGGTCACTGGGGTCAAATTTCGTAAAATCTTCAAACGACTTCTTCTCAGTAACCAAAAGGCCTAGGGTGATGATATTTGGCCAGAAGCATGCTGGGATGAAGGGCTACCAAGTTTGTTCAAATAAATGACCTTGATTTATATTCAAGGTCACAGGGGTCAAATATGTTAAAAACCTTTTAAAAAGTTCTTCTGAATAACCGAGATGCCTAGGGTGCTTAAATTTGGACAGTAACATGCTGGAATGAAGGGCTACCAAGTTTGTTCAAATAGATTATCTTTTTCCATTTTCAAGGTCACAGGGGTCAAATATGTTTAAAACATTTAAACAACTTCTTCTGAATAACCAAGAGGCCTATGGTGCTTAAATTTGGCCAGTAACATGCTTGGATAAAGGGCTACCAAGTTTGTTCAAATAAATGACCTTGACAAATATTCAAGGTCACAATGGTCAAATATGTTTAAAACCTTTAAACAACTTCTTCTGTAAAACCGAAATGTCCAGGGTAATGATATTTAGTCAGAAGGATGTAGGGATTAAGAGCTACCAAGTTTGTTCAAATGAATGACTTTCATCCATATTCAAGGTCACAGTGGTCAATTGTCTTAAAAAATCTTTAAACAACTTCTTCTGAATAACTAAGAGGCCTAGGATAATGCTATTTGGCCAGTAACATGCTATGATGAAGGGCTACAAAGTGTGTTCATATGAATGACCTTGATAAATGTTCAAGGTCACAGGGGTCAATTGTCTTGAAAACCTTTAAAGACTTTTCTGTATAACCAAAAGGACCAGGGGGATTATATTTGGCCAGAAGGATGTTGGCATGAAGGATTACTAAATTGTTCAAACAAATGACTTTCACTCATATTCAAGGTCACAGGAGTCAATTATCTTGAAAACCTTTAAACGACTTCTTCTGTATAACCAAAAGGTCCATGGTGATGATATTTGGCAAGAAGGATGTTGGCATGCAGGGCTACCAAGTGTGTTTAAAAACACAAATGACTTTCACTAATGTTCAAGGTCAAAGGTGTAAAATATGTTGAAATCTTTAAACGACTTCTTCTGAATAACTAAAGCATACATGCCTGTTGATGTGAATGACCTTGATAACTTTCATGGTCCATCTGGTCCATAGTGCATAAATCTTTTAAAGTCATCTTCTCAATAAACAAAAGGTATACTTAATGTACATGTTTGACTTTCAAGGTCACAGGGTTCAAATGTGTTTTAAATTTTTAACAGGTTCTTCAGAATAACTTGAAGTCAAGACACTGATATTTTGCCTGTAGCTTTATTTTATTCCACTTTTAAGGTTACAATTGTGAGATTAATACCAGGTGAGTGATGCAGGCCCATTGGGCCTCTTGTTCCATATTTGGTCTGAAGCATCCTTGGGTGAAGGGGAACTAATTTTGTATGAACGGTGGGTCTGGCCTCCCTGGGACCTGAGGGGCGGGGCCCAATAGGGGAAATAGAGGTAAAACCTTTACAATCCTTCTTCTACCATAGAGATTAAGGGTTTTATCCTAATTTAGTCGGGAGTATCCTTGGGCAAAAGGGACTCAATTTTGTATAAACGATGTGTCTGCCCCCCCCCTGGAGGCAGAGAGGTGGGGCCCAATTGGGGAAATAGAGGTAAAACCTTTAAAATCCTTCTTCTAACATAGGGATTAAGAATTTTATCCTTATTTAGTCTGGAGCATCCTTGGGTCAAGAGGACACAATTTTGTATAAGCAGTGGGTGTGGTCTCCAAGGGGGCAGAAGGGTGGGGCATAATAGGGGAAATAGAGGTAAACCTTTAAAATCCTTCTTCTACCTTAGGGATGAAGGGATTTCTTCCCAATTTGGTCTGTAGGATCTTGGGCAAAAGGGACTCAATTTTGCATAAACAGTGAGTGTGGCCCCCCTGGGGGCAGAAGGGCGGGGCCCAATAGGGGAAACATAGCAAATTCTTCAAGTACCTCTTCTGTACGAATGACAGGATTTTATCCTTATTTAGTCTGGAGCATCCTTGGGCCAAGAGGACTCAATTTTGTATAAACGGTGGGTATGACCCCTCTAGGGGCATAGGGGTGGGGGTCTGTTTGAAGTTTGTTCTCGCTATATCTCAAGTACTGGATGGATCTTTCTGAATTTCATATGTACTTACAGCACCTACCATGAAGTGCTATACCTTGACTTCATACCAATTTTTTAAACATTTTCTGGTAAACGATACAGGCCCTCTGGGCCTCTTGTTTTCCAACTTATTACATCGGAAAGATACGAAATACTTTATTGAAAAGCTATATGTATATTATTGCTGTGTGATTTATAACCATTCGGAAATGTTACCCTCAAGGTTAAGGTTACAATATTTTAAACACTTGAAGACATATTCTTGTGACTGGTATGCATGAACTCATTGCATACCAGTCACCATTCACAATTATAGTGTACTATGTACTAAATACATCAGACAGAATGTGATTTATAACTCCCTGAAGTTAGATGTTAATATCATTAAATGACATAATTCCTCTTTCTAACTCTCAGGACTAACTTTAGATCACTGTGTGTACTTTCCTACTTTTGCATAAGGTCAAGGTCACTGATGTAAAGGTTGATATTGAAGGATGGAAGTTGTTATCCTAAAGGTTGTATATATGTATAACAGTTTAACTTGTTGTTGACGTTGAGAATTGTAGATAGGTTGGTATTACAGTGTACAATTGTTGACTTGAGGACGATAAATATTCCTAGAGGGCTGACATGAATATCATATTTTGGAGGATAAAAATATCCATGGTACCCTAAAAAATGCCAGGAATTATTTTGTTACATGACAAATTACATGCAATTAAAATGTGTTTTCATCATTTATAAATTTTTAACGAAATATCAAAATCTGTTGGTGGCCTTTTTCTCAGACACCTTTTAGGCCAATGCAGTTGCTGTTTCAGTATATTTTAGATCTTGTCAATGAAGATCTGTTCGAGGAAATCATCCTCTATACTACCCAACCTTAGTTGATTCCTCCTGATAGTCGGACATCTGGGTGTTGCTGTGTGTCATTGTTACCTTGAGCTCTTTATACATAAATAATGATTTAAGTTGTTGATCATGAGAGTTGAACATGTTTCAGGGTGTGAACACAAAGGTGAACGGTACCAGGATGGACAACAATGGCGGATGGTCGCTAACCTGTGTGTGACCTGCTCCTGTACTGCAGGACTCATCACCTGTATGGAGATGCAGTGTTTCAACACATGTGACAACCCAGTCAATGTCCCCGGCCAGTGTTGTCCTGTGTGTCCCTGTAAGTAATACCAGTTAATGTCCCCAGCCAGTGTTCTGTGTGTCCCTGTAAGTGTCACCAGTCTTTGTCCCCAGCCAGTGTTGTCCTGTGTGTCCCTGTAAGTATAACCTGTCAATGTCCCCTGCCAGTGTTGTCCTGTGTGTCCCTGTAAGTATAACCTGTCAATGTCCCCTGCCAGTGTTGTCCTGTGTGTCCCTGTAAGTATAACCTGTCAATGTCCCCTGCCAGTGTTGTCCTGTGTGTCCCTGTAAGTATAACCTGTCAATGTCCCCTGCCAGTGTTGTCCTGTGTGTCCCTGTAAGTATAACCTGTCAATGTCCCCTGCCAGTGTTGTCCTGTGTGTCCCTGTAAGTATAACCTGTCAATGTCCCCTGCCAGTGTTGTCCTGTGTGTCCCTGTAAGTATAACCTGTCAATGTCCCCTGCCAGTGTTGTCCTGTGTGTCCCTGTAAGTATAACCTGTCAATGTCCCCTGCCAGTGTTGTCCTGTGTGTCCCTGTAAGTATAACCTGTCAATGTCCCCTGCCAGTGTTGTCCTGTGTGTCCCTGTAAGTATAACCTGTCAATGTCCCCTGCCAGTGTTGTCCTGTGTGTCCCTGTAAGTATAACCTGTCAATGTCCCCTGCCAGTGTTGTCCTGTGTGTCCCTGTAAGTATAACCTGTCAATGTCCCCAGCCAGTGTTGTCCTGTGTGTCCCTGTAAGTGTCACCAGTCTTTGTCCCCAGCCAGTGTTCTGTGTGTCCCTGTAAGTGTCACCTGTCAATGTCCCCAGCCAGTGTCCTGTGTGTCCCTGTAAGTGTCCCCAGTCTTTGTCCCCAGCCAGTGTTCTGTGTGTCCCTGTAAGTATAACCTGTCAATGCCCCCGGCCAGTATTGTCCTGTGTGTCCCTGTAAGTAATTCCAGTCAATGTCCCCAGCCAGTGTTCTTTGTGTCCCTGTTAGTGTCACCTGTCTTTGTCCCCAGCCATTGTTGTCCTGTGTGTCCCTGAAAGTAACACTTGTCAATGTCCCCGGCCAGTGTTGTCATATGTGTCCCTGTTAATATCACTAGTCAATGTCACCAGCCAGTGTTGTCCAGTATGTCCCTGTAAGTATTACCTGCAAATGTTCCCTGCCAGTGTTGTCCTGTGTGTCCCTGTAAGTGTCACCAGTCAATGTCCCCAGCCAGTGTTGTCCTGTGTGTCCCTGTAAGTATTACCTGCAAATGTCCCCTGCCAGTGTTGTCCTGTGTGTCCCTGTAAGTATAACCTGTCAATGTCCCCGGCCAGTATTGTCCTGTGTGTCCCTGTAAGTAATACCAGTCAATGTCCCCAGCCAGTGTTCTTTGTGTCCCTGTTAGTGTCACCTGTCTTTGTCCCCAGCCATTGTTGTCCTGTGTGTCCCTGAAAGTAACACTTGTCAATGTCCCCGGCCAGTGTTGTCATATGTGTCCCTGTTAATATCACTAGTCAATGTCACCAGCCAGTGTTGTCCAGTATGTCCCTGTAAGTATTACCTGCAAATGTTCCCGGCCAGTGTTGGCCTGTGTGTCCCTGTAAGTATTACATGTAGATGTCCCTGTTCAGTGTTGTCGGATGTGCCCCAGTAAGTATCGCCTGTTGATTTCCCCAGCCAGTGTTGTCCTGTATGTCCTTGTAAGTATTTAAGTATTACCTGTCCATGTCCCTGTTCAGTGTTGTCCTGTATGTCCCTGTAAGTGTCACCAGTCAATGTCCTCGGCCAGTGTGGTCCTGTGTGTCCCTGTAAGTGTCACCAGTCAATGTCCCCAGCCAGTGTTGTCCTGTATGTCCCTGTAAGTGTCACCAGTCAATGTCCTCTGCCAGTGTTGTCCTGTATGTCCCTGTAAGTGTCACCAGTCAATGTCCCCAGCCAGTGTGGTCCTGTATGTCCCTGTAAGTGTCACCAGTCAATGTCCTCGGCCAGTGTTGTCCTGTGTGTCCCTGTGTCACCGGTCAATGTCCCCAGCCAGTGTGGTCCTGTATGTCCCTGTAAGTATCACCTGTCAATGTCCCTGGTCAGTGTTGTCCTTTGTGTCCCTGTAAGTATTATCTGTCAATATTTTTAGCTCGTGTTGTCCTGTGTGTCCTTGTAAATAACTTACTTCACGATTCATAAACCTTTTCTATGTTATTATGTTGAAGGTATGATTTACTTATTATTATTTATAGAATATTTTTAAAGTTATGTTTTATCATGTTGTTGATGTAGTACTTAAGTCAGAGACCTTATGTATTTCAGCGTGCCGGTACAATGGTTTGTCCTACACTGATGGCCAAAGCTTTAGTCCTAATGGTGACCCTTGTGATATCTGTACTTGTGAAGTAAGTTGCCTTTCATATAAGATTTTTTGAGTTTATAAATCTATTTGAAAGCCAAGATGACTGTCATGGTTTCCGATAAGTTTATGTATTTATATCTTCCACTGTAGTTTATGTCAGGGAGTGCATTAACAATATCTGTTGTGTGATTGCTAAGGTATTGTTTGTATTTCCCCCTGTCAGAGCGGAGGGCTGAAGTGTCACCATGAGAGCTGTCCCCAGATCGCTAATTGTCCTGTGGAGCAACAGTTGGCAGCTGGTCCTGGACAGTGCTGTCCTACATGCTCAGGCTGTAAGTAAAACAGTAGCAGTATCAGGGACATTGTATGTGCTGCAGGATGTGATACCAGTCTGTGGTTGTATGTACTGGAGGATGTGATACCAGTCTGTGGTCAGCTTCTGCTGTTATTAGGATATTACCTGTTATCTTACTATTCATAGTAAGTTATTGTTCAATAGTGGTGTAGTTTGACTTTAGTAGCCAGAGTAAATTGTTGTTCTGGAGTGACTGGACCTAAACAGTGAGAGGAACTTATTGTCTTAGAATTACCTTGATCTAAACAGCCATAGTAAATTATTGTTTTAACTCATTCACCCCTGAAATTTCATAATGAACTATTCCAACCTTTGAATTGGAGGAGTTCAAATGTGTCTTCAGGGGTGAATGAGTTAAGGTGACCTTGATCTAAACAGCCAGAGTAAATTATTGTTTTAAGGTGACCTTGATCTAAACAGCTAGAGTTAGTTATTGTTTTAAGGTGACCTTGATCTAAACAGCCAGAGTTAGTTATTGTTTTAAGGTGACCTTGATCTAAACAGCCAGAGTTAGTTATTGTTTTAAGGTGACCTTGATCTTAACAGCCAGAGTAATTTATTGTTTTAAGGTGACCTTGATCTAAACAGCTAGAGTAAATCATTGTTCTAGAGTGACCTTGACCTAAAAAAACTAGAGTAAATCATTGTTCTAGAGTGACCTTGACCTAAAAACCTAGAGTAAATCATTGTTCTAGAGTGACCTTGACCTAAAAAACCTAGAGTAAATCATTTTTCTACATGTATTATGTTTCTTTCTGTTCTATCTGTAGTTGGAACCAACTGTACCCGTGAGACTGTGGGTGTAAGCCTCAGACCTCGGGCAACACAAGACCCCTGTGTTGTGTGCGAGTGTACAGTGAGTTTTGTTTAATCACACGTCTCTGCATTTGCATGTTGCTAAATTATCATGCATTTATTTATACATCATTGCTTACTGAGAAAAACAGATAATTGAAACCTTGAAAAAAACACCTGGTAGGCTTTGACCTGAGGCAAGGTGTCGGGAATTTTGTTTTTGTTTTTGTTGCTGCAAGTCTCTTGTTGGCCTGTATTCCTTCACAAACTGACCTGGTGTAACTGATGTATACAAACTTGGCATACATGATGAGTAGTGGAGGATTTCAGGGTCCAAATTAAAGAACAAATTGAGATAAATTGGCAACATTTTTCAAAAATTATTTCCAGAATTTCATCTGGCTATATATATTAGATCTAACTATACATATCATTAGAGGCTTGTAGAGGTTGTTTCAGTAGGATGTAATTGGGTTTACGAGGAGTCCTACCCACTAACAAGAGTGGAACACTTGTACATTATGTAAATATTGCTATTTTACTCTTCAACATTTTTGCACAATTGATTAAGTGTTTGTAATGTGATCCACAGGCTTCCTTCCATTGGATGTGTACCACACAAAGATGTAACCCAGTGGCCTGTCCACCCTCCGTCCAGCGTGTCCAGTCGGGACAGTGTTGTCCCCAATGTCCAGGTATGTCCTCTGCTTCCAAACATTTAGATCTTTAAATATCTGCTATGTCACAACTATCCTTTTTCATTGAACAAGACAATTAACTGTATCAGTTTCATAACCTTAAACTTTGGTAGGTTCTTTTCGATGTTAAGTTAATGTAGATAAAGTATTGCAAAATGTAACAGTTCTACTACACCACCTCTTCTCCACCTGGAATTTGAAGATGAATTTTCCCTTCCACTTGGTTAAGCTTACAAACTATGTACATTGTAAATTAGCTTTTTGTTCAAGAACTAAAGTGTCATAAATAAAGCTGGGTGAAACTTATCTGTTTGCTAATACAGATTGTGTATTTTTTCAGCCTGTTATGATACAAGGGAGGACCGTTATTATGAAGAGGGAACAACATGGGCAGACAACTCTGATCCTTGTATGGTGTGTCGTTGTCAGGTCAGTGTCTTGTGTCACCCACGGAAAACCTCTTCCTTGATCATTCTTTTCTTTATTCAATGAGTGCTATAAGGAAAGAAGAATTAATCACAAAGTTTTGAGGCCAATAGTCAGTTATAAGAAGCGTGGTTGTGTTACAGGGAGGGGAGATCAGCTGTGTGGCTGTGGACTGTCCCAGAGTCTTCTGTCTTGATGACCAGGTTCCTCTCCCGTCCCCAGGCACCTGTTGTCCAGTCTGTCAGAACATCGACCGGGCTGAGTGTGTGTATCAGGGAAATACCTACCAGGTAAATAGAGATCATATACGAGTTAAAGAGTTCACATACTCACAAAGGTTTGAACAATTAATTAACATTTTCCAGAGATTGATAGGATGGGTTTGCATCTTCTGGATATTTAAATGTTGAGTTTATGTCCTCACAAATAAGTTTACAACTTAAAAGAAATTTTAATGACAAGTTTGCGTTCTCACAAAGATTTAAAAGACATGTTACCATCCTCACAGAGTTTACATCTGCTAAAGCAAGTTGAGAGGGAGAGTATAATTTGTGGTCTGATTCCTCCCCACAGACAGGTGATGTGTGGACCATAGACGAGTGTACAACGTGTAACTGTCTGGGGGGGACGGTGAGCTGTACTACAGAGCAGTGTGACCAGGAGACCTGTGGGTTTGATGCCACGTTGTCTAGGATACCCGGCCAGTGCTGTCCTGTCTGTCAAACCAGTGAGTAACCCCCTGTGATCAGGTCAGCGTATGGCTGGGATTTACTGAGTTATAACCAGTATGTCACACACTCCATCTGTTGTTCATGTATCAGTCACAGTCTCTGATATCTAATGTACTATGACCTTCACTTATTACCCTTTAACCTAATACAGGTCCTGCTACTTTTTAGCCCACCATCATCTGATCGTGGGCTATTCAAATCACCCTGCGTCCGTGGTCCGTGGTCCGTCCTTAAACAATTCTTGTTATCGGTATTTCTCAAGAAGCACCTGAGGGATCTTTCTCAAATTTTATATGTAGGTTCCCCTTGGTCCTAGCTGTGCAGTGCAACTTTTGAGACTGATCGGATAAACAACATGGCCGACAGGCAGCCATCTTTGATTTTGATAGTGAAAGTTTGTTATCGCTATTTCTATGGAAGTATCAGAGGGATCTTTCTCAAATTTTATATGTAGGTTCCCCTTGGTCCTAGCTGTGCAGGGCAATTTTAGAGACTGATCGGATAAACAACATGGCCGACAGGCAGCAATCTTGGATTTTGATAGTGAAAGTTTGTTATCGCTATTTCTCGGGAAGTATCAGAGGGATCTTTCTCAAATTTTAAATGTAGGTCTCCTTGATCCCACGTTGTGCATGTTATGTTTTGAGACTGATCATAAAAACAAAATGAAATAAAAGAAGAACTAAACAGATCTTTCTCATATTGCAATGATCGATTCTGTACTGTACTAGTAAATATGTGAAATGACAAACTCACTTTGAAGGATGACTTTCATACACATCAGTATTAAGTTTAGATCAAAAGTTACCTCAAGGTGCATTTACTGTTAACATGACTCGATCAAACAGATTAGAGGAAAGAAGGGAAAAGATCGAACTGACAAAGAACGAATGAAGATGGTACAAAGATGGGCGCCAAGATCCCTTTGGGATCTCTTGTCTATTATAATATGACCCCCATCCAAGTCCACCCCCACACCCAAACACACACACACACACACACACACACACGCACACTCACACACACACACACACACACACACACATTAATTGCCCTTTGTTTTTGACAGGTCCTGCAACCTGCCTTGTATACGGCGACCCACACTACCAAACATTTGACGGCACAAGCATCAGTTTCATGGGAAACTGTCGCTACCTCATGGCTGCAGACTGTGAAAATGATGACTTCATGTAAGTAAAGCATTTCTAAATTCTCCTTTATCTTTGTTTGGAAGTCGTATGAATATGGCTAAATGTTTTGCAAATGTTGTTTTCAATATGTCACCATAAATTTGGATGTTGCTATTTCACAAGATATCCCCTTTGTCCTTAGTTGTTCATGTTTTACTTAAATTTGGAACTGATTGCAAAGTGTCGGTCAGGTGGCCGTTTTGGAGTTCACTATCGTTATTTCTCAGAAGGTACTGGAGAGGTTTTTTTCTCAAATTTCAAAAGTTGGTTCCCCTTGGTTCTTTTTTGTGTGTATTCAGTTTTGTTTTAGAACTGATCACTTTGGGTGGTATATCCTTCTCAGCTGTCAACATGACTTCAAATTGAATGATTTGTCCTTGATTTTGTAACATTAAAACTAATATTTCGCCAGTCAGAACCCCTCCCCGCCCAAAAAAACAAAAACAAAAAACCCCAAGAAAATCCCAAATTTAAACCTCTGTTTTCATGCAAAAACACCAAAATATTGTGATCTCAATTAACAGTTGTCTGTCCTTCCTTATCTTATAGGTTACCAAAGAGTAAGTCTCCCTCCAAAAAAGGATTGTAACTAAATAAACAAGTCAAAATATTTCACTTCATCACAGTTGTAGTATTTAGATGTCTATGTTAAGTATGTGGGTGTGTTACAGTGTAGAGGTACAACATGACCGTCGGTCAGCGCCCCTGGCTGTGTCCTGGGCCCAGAACTTCACGGTCAAGCTTTCTGGATACAAGATAGACCTGCTTCAGGATGGAATTGTCATGGTAACTATGACACTGAAGTTTTAAGAACAGGGTTTTAAATTATATATTGGAATAAACTGTTTACACAAGAGAAAAGGAATCTCCTACTCCTGGTTATAATATTCAGAATCATCCATTATATCCCAGATGATATAAAAATGCTGTTATATCACAGAAAATGTGTAGGATAATCATATCTTGAAAGATTCTTGATTTCATAAAATAGTTAGTATATATCACAATAAATGACGAGACATTATGTCAGTTGCTAAGTTCTGTCTGCCACTAAGCTGTAGTAATATCTAGGGTGTAATAATGTGTTCTAGGTGAATGGTCGGGTGATACAACCTAATTACAGACAAGGATCAGTGTTCTCTGTGGAGATCAAGGATGGTACTGTGTTCCTCAACACGCAGATAGGCGTCAAGGTAAGTGTAAAGAGAAGGGACAACACCAACATGTTATAACCCCCACCCCCTCCTGTAGCAATGTTGTGGGGGTGGGGGGTTTAAATCATTTTCTCTTGACTAAACAACTCCTGTAGCAATGTTGTGGGGGTGGGGGGTTTAAATCATTTTCTCATGGCCGAACAACTCCTGGGACAATGTATGTTCTTGGGGTGGGAGGCTTAAATCCTATTCTCATGACCGAACAACTCATGTAATACTGTTGTGGGGATGGGGGGTTTAAATGATACTCTCATGACCAAACAACTCCTGTAACAATGTTGTGGAGGTGGGGGGTTTAAATCATATTCTCATGACCGAACAACTCCTGGGACAATGTATGTTGTTGGGGTGGGAGGCTTAAATCCTATTCTCATGACCGAACAACTCATGTAATACTGTTGTGGGGATGGGGGGTTTAAATGATACTCTCATGACCAAACAACTCCTGTAACAATGTTGTGGAGGTGGGGGGTTTAAATCATATTCTCATGACCGAACAACTCCTGGGACAATGTATGTTGTTGGGGTGGGAGGCTTAAATCCTATTCTCATGACCAAACAACTGATGTAACAATGTTGAGGGGGTGGGGGCTTAAATGATATTCTCATGACCAAACAACTCCTGTAGCAATGTTGTGGGGGTGGGGGTTTTAAATGATATTCTCATGACCAAACAACTCCTGTAGCAATGTTGTGGGGGTGGGGGTTTTAAATGATATTCTCATGACCAAACAACTCCTGTAAGGGTGTGGGGGGGGGGGGGGGCTTAAACCATATGCTCATGACCAAACAACTCCTGTAACAATGTTATGGGGGGAGGGGGCTTAAATCCTATTCTCATGACCAAACAACTGATGTAACAATGTTGTGGGGGTGGGGGCTTTAATCATATTCTCATGACCAAACAACTCCTGTAAGGGTGTGGGGGGGGGGGGGGGCTTAAACCATATGCTCACGACTAAACAACTCCTGTGACAATGTTATGGGGGTAGGGGGCTTAAATCCTATTCTCATGACTAAACACCTCCTGTAACAATGTTGTTGGGGTGGGGGCTTTAATCATATTCTCATGACCAAACAACTCCTGTAACAATGTTGGGGGTGTGGGGGGCTTAAACCATATGCTCCCGACTAAACAACTCCTGTGACAATGTTATGGGGGTAGGGGGCTTAAATCCTATTCTCATGACTAAACACCTCCTGTAACAATGTTGTTGGGGTGGGGGCTTTAATCATATTCTCATGACCAAACAACTCCTGTAGCAATGTTGTGGGGGTGGGGGGCTTAAATCATATTCTCATGACCAAACAACTCCTGTAGCAATGTTGTGGGGGTGGGGGTTTTAAATGATATTCTCATGACCAAACACCTCCTGTAGCAATGTTGTGGGGGTGGGGGGCTTAAATCATATTCTCATGACCAAACAACTCCTGTAACAATGTTGTGGGGTGCAGTTGTATTTTTTCTATCAAATTATTTTGTGCCAGTTTCCAAACTTTTTTAAGTGGAAGGCTGGGTGTTATTATAGTCTGTGGCTTACAATTCTAGTTCTAGTCTGTTCTATTTTGTTACTGAAATATTGTTGAGCTAAACGTTTTTCCTAAACTTATAATACCATTAGTAATAATAGAGTTTCCCTGGAGCTGTATACAATGTGTTGCTGTGTTCCACAGTTGGTGTGGAATGGTGCAAGCCAGGCAGAGCTCAGTGTGCCAGGATCATACAAACGCAAGATGTGTGGACTGTGTGGAAATTTTAATGGCTATCCTCAGGATGACATGCGTACTCGTTCCAGACAGATTACAAACTCACCGAGCATTTTTGGAAATAGCTGGAAGGTGGGTAGCACTGCTGGAATGCTTGAATAAAATCTATTGAATACAGAGTGTTGTTAAGTCAGTATAACAGTGGAAAATCAATGATACAATCTAGAAGGTCAGTATGAAAAGTCAGGGATTGTAAGAAACCAATCTGAGGCAATTTACCACTGAAAAATAAGTATAGCTGAAATATCATGTACAAGGTCAGTTTGAAAACTTTAATATTTGGTTTTAAGCTTTTGGGTAACTAGTGAGTGGCACGGTAATGTTGCACTTTGTGACCCGAGTGGTATGGTAATGTACTTTGTGACTCGATTGGTACAGTAATGTTATACTTTGTGACCCCAGTGGTACTGTAATGTTGTACTTTGTGACCCGATTGGTACAGTAATGTTTTACTTTGTGACTCGATTGGTACAGTAATGTTGCACTTTGTGACCCGAGTGGTATGGTAATGTACTTTGTGACTCGATTGGTACAGTAATGTTATACTTTGTGACCCCAGTAGTACAGTAATGTTGTACTTTGTGACACGATTGGTACAGTAATGTTGTACTTTGTGACTCGATTGGTACAGTAATGTTATACTTTGTGACCCCAGTGGTACGGTAATGTTGTACTTTGTGACACGATTGGTACAGTAATGTTGTACTTTGTGACCCGATTGGTACAGTAATGTTGTACATTGTGACCCCAGTGGTACAGTAATGTTGTACTTTGTGACCCCAGTGGTACAGTAATGTTGTACTTTGTGACCCGATTGGTACAGTAATGTTGTACTTTGTGACCCCGGTGGTACAGTAATGTTGTACTTTGTGACCCCAGTGGTACAGTAATGTTGTACTTTGCGACCCCAGTGGTACAGTAATGTTGTACTTTGTGACTCCAGTGGTACAGTAATGTTGTACTTTGTGACCCTAGTGGTACAGTAATGTTGTACTTTGTGACCCGAGTGGTACAGTAATGTTGTACTTTGTGACCCCATTGGTACAGTAATGTTGTACTTTGTGACCCCAGTGGTACAGTAATGTTGTACTTTGTGACCCCAGTGGTACGGTAATGTTGTACTTTGTGACCTGATTGGTACAGTAATGTTGTACTTTGTGACCCTAGTGGCACAGTTATGTTGTACTTTGTGACCCCGGTGGTACGGTAATGTTGTACTTTGTGACCCCAGTGGTACGGTAATGTTGTACTTTGGGACCTGATTGGTACAGTAATGTTGCCCTTTGTGACCCTAGTGGCACAGTTATGTTGTACTTTGTGTCCCCGGTGGTACGGTAATGTTGTCCTTTGTGACCCCATTGGTACAGTAATGTTGTACTTTGTGACCCCAGTGGTACAGTAATGTTGTACTTTGTGACCCCAGTGGTATAGTAATGTTGTACTTTGTGACCCCATTGGTACAGTAATGTTGTACTTTATGACTCCAGTGGTACAGAAATGTTGTACTTTGTGACCCCAGTGGTACAGTAATGTTGTACTTTGTGACCCCAGTGGTACAGTAATGTTGTAATTTGTGACCCGATTGGTACAGTAATGTTGTACTTTGTGACCCCAGTGGTACAGTACCCCCCTACTTTGTGACCCCAGTGGTACAGTACCCCCCTACTTTGTGACCCCAGTGGTACGGTGATGTTGTACTTTGTGACCCGAATGGAATGGTAATGTACTTTGTGACTCGATTGGGACAGTAATGTTATACTTTGTGACCCCAGTAGTACAGTAATGTTGTACTTTGTGACCCAAGTGGTACGGTAATGTTGTACTTTGGGACCCCAGTGGTACAGTAATGTTGTCCTTTGTGACCTGATTGGTACAGTAATGTTGTACTTTGTTACCCCAGTGGTACAGTAATGTTGTACTTTGTGACCCCAGTGGTACGGTAATGTTGTACTTTGGGACCTGATTGGTACAGTAATGTTGTACTTTGTGACCCTAGTGGCACAGTTATGTTGTACTTTGTGACCCCGGTGGTACAGTAATGTTGTACTTTGTGACCCCAGTGGTACGGTAATGTTGTACTTTGTGACCCGAGTGGTACAGTAATGCTGTACTTTGTGACCCCAGTGGTATAGTTATGTTGTACTTTGTGACCCCATTGGTACAGTAATGTTGTACTTTGTGACTCCAGTGGTACAGAAATGTTGTACTTTGTGACCCCAGTGGTAGGGTAATGTTGTATTTGTGACCCCAGTGGCAATGTTGTACTTTGTGACCCCAGTGTACAGGAATTGTGTACTTTGTGACCCCAGTGGTATAGTTATGTTGTACTTTGTGAACCCATTGGTACAGTAATGTTGTACTTTGTGCCTCCAGTGGTACGGTAATGTTGTACTTTGTGACACCAGTGGTACGGTAATGTTGTACTGTGTGACCTGATTGGTACAGTAATGTTGTACTTTCTGACTCCAGTGGCACAGAAATGTTGTACTTTGTGACACCAGTGGTACGGAAATGTTGTACTTTGTGACCCCAGTGGCACAGTAATGTTGTACTTTGTGACCCCAGTGGTACGGTAATGTTGTATTTGTGACCCCAGTGGTAATGTTGTACTTTGTGACCCCAGTGGTACGGTAATGTTGTACTTTGTGACACCAGTGGTACGGTAATGTTGTACTTTGTGACCCCAGTGGTACAGTAATGTTGTACTTTGTGACCCCAGTGGTAATGTTGTACTTTGTGACCCCACAGGCAGATGACCAAACATCAGACAACTGTGCCAATGCTGATGACATAGACCCCTGTAAAGAGGTGGGCTACCGAGGCAAGCGCATCGCTGAAACCAAGTGTGCCATTCTTAATGTAAGTACTGCATTTTTTGTCAGTTTATACTTAATTATACAGGTCATTCACTTATCATTGGTTATGATACATTTCCTTTATTCAAAATGGCTACCAGGATAGTCTGTGATAGGACATATTTTATGCATGTTTGACATTATGATGACTTTTGTTGCAGGGCCCAGCATTCTCCCGTTGTCACCGGACCGTGTCGCCAGAGCCGTTCTATGCTGCGTGTCGCCATGACATGTGTGTTTGTCTAGATAATGACACCTGTCTGTGTGAAGTCTTGTCCTCCTACGCACGCGAGTGTGCCAAAAAGGGTATCAGACTGGCCTGGAGGTCAGGGGGACTTTGTGGTATGTACTAGTGGTGAGGGTTGGTTGGGTGATACTTAGAGATGATCAGACTGGTTCAGAGGTCAGGGGGACTCTGTGGTATGTACTAGTGGTGAGGGTTGGTTGGGTGATACTTAGATGATCAGACTGGTTCAGAGGTCAGGGGGACTCTGTGGTATGTACTAGTGGTGAGGGTTGGGTGGGTGATACTTAGATGATCAGTCTGGTTCAGAGGTCGGGGGGACTATGTGGTATGTACTAGTGGTGAGGGTTGGGTGGGTTTTACTTGGATGATCAGACTGGTTCAGAGGTCAGGGGGACTATGTGGTATGTACTAGTGGTGAGGGATGGTTGGGGGATACTTAGATGATCAGTCTGGTTCAGAGGTCAGGGGGACTATGTGGTATGTACTAGTGGCGAGGGTTGGGTGGGTGATACTTAGATGATCAGACTGGTTCAGAGGTCAGGGGGACTCTGTGGTATGTACTAGTGGTGAGGGTTGGGTGGGTGATACTTAGATGATCAGACTGGTTAAGAGGTCAGGGGGACTTTGTGGTATGTACTAGTGGTGAGGGTTGGGTGGGTGATACTTAGATGATCAGACTGGTTAAGAGGTCAGGGGGACTCTGTGGTATGTACTAGTGGTGAGGGTTTGGTGGGTGATACTTAGATGATCAGTCTGGTTTAGAGGTCCGGGGGACTATGTGGTATGTACTAGTGGTGAGGGTTGGTTGGGGGATACTTAGATGATCAGTCTGGTTCAGAGGTCAGGGGGACTATGTGGTATGTACTAGTTGCGAGGGTTGGGTGGGTTTTACTTGGATGATCAGACTGTGTTTGTAGAACTGGTAGAATCTGTCGTATGTACTAGCTGTGAGGGTTGGTTTGGTGAGTCTTTGATGATGAATTTTTGTTTTCAAATGAAATTTGGTGATTTTAATTGATTATTTGTGTTATTTTACAGAATTTAGCTGTGATGTGTCTAAGGGATTTGTTTTTGATGAGTGTGGCCCTGTGTGTGCACGAACATGTGAAAATTTTGACCAACCAACAGCTGACCTATCTAGCAAATGTTACAAGCCATGTGTAGCCAGCTGCCAGTGTCCAGCCAACAAGGTCCTGTACAATGGTCGCTGTGTTGACTCTACCTCGTGTCCCAACATCAATAGAGCATTCTCTGGCACCACCAACACACGTATACCGTGACGCCACTAGAGTTTTAGGTCACCAACGTAGACAGTGATGTTAGGAAAGTTAGTCAGTTGATCAGTAGTGCCTTTACATAGATATGCTTTACCTGTATGTCACAGGTGTGCTGTAACCTGTGTGACACCTGTACTATGAACTGTGTCACACATGTACTATCACCTGTGTGACACAGGTGTGCTGTTAGCTGTGTGTGGCCTGTGTGTACTGTCACATTATTTGTGACACAGGTGTGCTGCTAGCTATGTCTACTGTCACCTTATGTGTGCTGTCACTTTATGTGTGACACAGGTGTACTATTAGCTGTGTCTGACCAGTGTGTACTGTCACCTTATGTGTGACACAGGTGTGCTTTTACCTGTGTGTACTGTCACATTAGGTGTAAAACAGGTGTTGTTAGCTGTTACCTGTGTTTATACACAAGTGCTAACCCGTCAGGCAGTCAATAATATAAGTGTATGATCTGTGAAGTAAGTATAGATTAATGCATATCACCAGTATTTTGCTCAAAGTTATTTTAACTTGCCAGATCACTTAGTTTGATGCCTGCCTTAACTGTGAATATGAAAGTTGAAAGTAGAGTCAACTTACTTAATGTTGAAATGTGTATGTCGTCACCACAGGAGGTAGTGCTGACATGTTAGAGGAGTAGTTAATATAGGAGAGCTTTAGGCAAGCCCACACGTATCTCTACATATAGACACCAAGTGATGGCCACCAGTTTCCGTCCAGCTAAAAGATCATCAGGAATGTTTATAAATCATTAATGATGTGGAGTATTGGAAGCCTGGATATTCTAGAAATATCATCAATAGTTATTGCCTTGTTTATATATGCCTGAATTTTAATTTATACAATGATTTCTTACCAATAGTTCGTGAATTTCTTAGCCGATATTAATATCATCTGCTGAATATTGATGGATTACCTGCCTGATATTACCATTATTACGGCCAGTTTAATTACCAATCTGATATTAGTTTTTACCGCCATTTAAATTACTAGCCCGATATAACCATTTATTATGGTCGGTTAAATTACTCACCTGATATTACAGTTTTTTACAGCCTGTTAAATTACTGGCCAGATATTACCGTTTTATGGCCTGTGAATTAATTACTGGCGGATTTTACCGTTTTAAGGCCTGTGAATTACCGTTTTACAGCCTGTGAATTAATTACTGGCGGGATTTTACCGTTTTAAGGCCTTTGAATTACAGTTTTAAGGCCTGTGAATTAATTACTGGCGGAATATTACCGTTTTACAGCCTGTGAATTAATTCCTAGCAGAATATTACCGTTTTACGGCCTGTTAGAATATGTACTAGGTAAATGTAGAGTATGACAACAGGTGGTCACACAATTTTTAATCACATAACATTGAATTTTTAAATTGAATATACATGGTATAATTTTGACTAATATATATATACACTATTTTCATTTATACCTAATACTTTTAAAGTAGATCAGAACTACATGTATTTTAGCATTAATATGTACCGATATTGTAATATATTTGCGATGCCATGAATGATTATTTTGACAATCAAATCTCAGGTGTTTTTTTGTATGTTTTTTACTCAGTGATTCTTTGTTGCATTTGTTTAGATACCTGTGCAAAACAATTCCTCTGCTTGTTAATGTCAGTATTTAACATATGAGAGAGACCTTTCTATTGCTAAAAATGGTCTGTTCAACAGCTATTTTGCTGTTTTATTTACATGAAATAAATGAACACAAATGTGATTCGAAGCAATTAAGCAAACCTTGATACTAAAAAAATAGTAAACATCAAAAATGATGGTGTTGTCATTAACCATATAATTAAAACTAATATTATATATACTGTATCTACCCTCATAGTTACAAATGAAAACGATGGCCAGTGTGTGTGTGTGTGTGTGTGCATCATTGCATGGTTGCTATTATAACAGTGATGCCATGTTACTATGGTAATGTGCCTCAATGTCATTGTTATCACTATGGTAAAGTATAAGTGCCTAAATGCCATGGTTACTATACTGTGTGCCATGGTTGTTACTAGGTAAGTGCTTCATAATAATGGTTGCTTCTATGTTTTCTATGCCTTATTGCCATGGTTGTTACTATGACAAGTGTGTGTACCTTGTTGCCATGGTCATTACTATGACAAGTGTATGTACCTTGTTGCCATGGTCGTAGCAATGACAAGTGTGTGTACCTTGTTGCCATGGTCATTACAATGACAAGTGTGTGTACGTTGTTGCCATGGTCATTACAACGACAAGTGTGTGTACCTTGTTGCCATGGTCGTTACTATACAAGTGTGTGTACCTTGTTGCCATGTTCATTACAACGACAAGTGTGTGTACGTTGTTGCCACGGTCATTACAACGACAAGTGTATGTACCTTGTTGCCATGGTCGTTACTATGACAAGTGTGTGTACCTTGTAGCCATGGTCATTACAACGACAAGTGTGTGTACGTTGTTGCCACGGTCATTACAACGACAAGTGTATGTACCTTGTTGCGATGGTCGTTAGTATGATAAGTGTGTGTACCTTGTTGCCATGGTCATTACTATGACAAGTGTATGTACCTTGTTGCCATGGTCGCTACTATGACAAGTGTGTGTACCTTGTTGCCATGGTAATTACAACGACAAGTGTGTGTACCTTGTTGCCATGGTCGTTACTATGCAAGTGTATGTACCTTGTTGCCATTGTTATTACAACGACAAGTGTGTGTACCTTGTTGCCATGGTCATTACAACGACAAGTGTGTGTACCTTGTTGCAATGGTCATTACAATGACAAGTGTGTGTACCTTGTTGCCATGGTCGTTACTATGCAAGGGTATGTACCTTGTTGCCATGGACGTTACTATGACAAGTGTGTGTACCTTTTTGCCATGGTCATTACAACGACAAGTGTGTGTACCTTGTTGCAATGGTCGTTACTATGTAAGTGTTTGTACCTTGTTGCCATGGTCGTACCTTGTTGCCATGGTCGTACCTTGTTGCCATGCTCGTTACAATGACAAGTGTGTGTACCTTGTTGCCATGCTCGTTACTATGACAAGTGTGTGTACCTTGTTGCCATGGTCATTACTATGACCAGTGTATGTATAATGTACCTTGTTGCCATGGTCATTACTATGACAAGTGTATGTATAATGTACCTTGTTGCCATGGTTATTACTATGACAAGTGTATGTATAATGTACCTTGTTGCCAAGGGCGTTACTATGACACATGTGTGAACCTTGTTGCCAAGGTCATTACTATGACAAGTGTATGTACCTTGTTGTCGTGGTCATTACAACGACAAGTGTGTGTACCTTGTTGCAATGGTCGTTACTATGTAAGTGTTTGTACCTTGTTGCCATGGTCGTACCTTGTTGCCATGGTCGTACCTTGTTGCCATGGGCGTACCTTGTTGCCATGCTCGTTACAATGACAAGAGTGTGTACCTTGTTGCCATGCTCGTTACTATGACAAGTGTGTGTACCTTGTTGTCGTGGTCATTACAACGACAAGTGTTTGTACCTTGTTGCCATGGTCGTTACTATGACAAGTGTATGTGCCTTGTTGCCATGGTCGTTACTATGACAAGTGTGTGTACCTTGTTGTCGTGGTCATTACAACGACAAGTGTTTGTACCTTGTTGCCATGGTCGTTACTATGACAAGTGTATGTACCATGTTGCCATGGTCGTTACTATGTCAAGTGTATGTACCTTGTTGCCATGGTCGTTACTATGACAAGTGTGTGTACCTTGTTGCCATGGTCGTTACTATGACAAGTGTATGTACCTTGTTGTCGTGGTCATTACAACGACAAGTGTGTGTACCTTGTTGCCATGGTCGTTACTATGACAAGTGTATGTACCTTGTTGCCATGGTGGTTACTATGGTCTGTGTGTACCTTGTTGTCATTGTTGTTACTATGTTAAGTGTTAAACTTTGTTGCCATGGTGGTTACTATGGTAAACATGTGTAAGTGTAGGTGCCTTATTGCCATTGTGTAGTTGTGGTACAGGTTTGAACCAATACTGTATTTATTATCTGTCCTGTGACAGCTGTGTGTTTATAATGTATCATACCGGTCCAGAGTGGAGGTGTACGCACAAAAAATGAGTATTTCATTGGTCAAATGCATTCATAATTCATTATTTTTATAAAAACTTGCATTAGAACCATAATATTACACACTTAGCTACCTACCATAATGAGTTGGATGAACCATTCAAATTTGCTCACATCTAGTGCTAGGTACAAGGGTTCATAATAAAACTTTAACAAAGAGTTTTTTGTTTGTCACCATAATTAACATTGCTCTGTCAAATATTATTTTCATAAATATTTGAAAAGTAGTTTCATTTCCTGCTTTCCTGTATCAGGTTTCTTTTCAACCTTTATGCTGCACCAATATTTCTGCCTTCCTGGCAAATCACTGATCCACTCAGCATCACTTCTTGTTTAATTATTTGTAACTGTGCAATCATAAGTAATTATACCGGTTGTTTGACATTTATGATATCAATTCCCAGTGGTGTATTGTGTATGTTTTCGTGTTAAGTGGGTTATTGTGAGGGTCTGTCCTCCTTTGGAAGACTTCATCAGAATGTGTACAAATACATTATATCATGTTAAATTAAAAGAATCTAGCTAGTCAACTTTAAACAAATCAGGTTAATAACTATAAAGTCTTTGAAAGAACAGATACCACAATGAATCGTCATTGAATGAATCAAATTCCATCATAATCCAACCTTAATATTTGGATTGCAGCATCCATCGTCCATTGTCTACTTTTCCTTTAAAAGATTTCTTCTAAAACAAACAAGGTCTAGTCATGAAATTTTGGCTGGTAGCTTCCTTGGAAAAAATGACTGACCTACTTTCAAGGTCACAGAGGTCAATATGTCTAAACTTCTGAAAGAACGAAAGGCCTAGTGTCATGATATGTGGCTGGTAGATTCCTTAAGTCAATTGAGCCCCAACAAAATTTTGAATAAGTTTGACCTTGATACACTCTCAAGGTTTACATTGGTCAAACATGTCAAAAACTTCAATTGACTTGTACAGAACCAAAAAGCCTAGAGTCCTATTTGGTTTCGTCCAATCAGGGGAATCAAACCCCAGCTGTCTTGGTGAAAGGTGAGCACACTATCCAATGCATCATCCATCCTACTTTAGATAAAAAAAAACAGCTTAACATTACATGAGTCTTGTATGATCAATAACCAGCTCAATCTCACCAAGTGCATGTATAGATAAAGTTTGACCCTGAAGATGAACACTAATGAGCCAAACAGTGTTGAGTGCTCTGCCTTGTATTAATTACTAGAAAAGACTATATAACCATGAGTTTCACAATAAAATAAAAATCATAAATTTGTCATTTTGTCTTACCAATACCCAGTCATAAGAGTTTGAGATGTGTGAATAATTAATATATTATTTGATCAACTGGAAATGTTTAAATTCAGATTTCTGCACTGCTGTATCAGGTTTAAAATGGAAGTAGTTTTGTACTCGCCCAATATTAAGACGTCACAGTGTTCCTTCTGTATATGCTGTGTACTGTGAGCATATACTAGTACATGTATGTCGTCCTACAGTTGTGTTGTACAGATCGGTATAAATGTGTCATAAGAACAACTTATAATATGTATATTGGACAATGAAATTGTAAACCCCTTATCACATGTTATACTATTTGTAACATTTCTAATAAATATTGTATTGGAATACAATGTACATCAATTGTGTGGATTTCTATTTAATACAAGCATGTATATATGTGATTGTGAACACCAACTGATCACATTCTGTGTAAGCTCCTGTATGTATGCCACAAGAGGGATAACACAAAAACTGCTGACATAATCCACACAAAGAGATCACTCAAACTAAAGTTTGCTTGTAATGTACTAGCTACAACAATGTGGACCGTGGAATAAAAGTCTGAAACACAAACAAGGATTTATCATATTTATTGCAGTTAAATGGCACACATGCCTTCTTGGAAACAATGAGTATCAAATTTCAACACATGTCACAAACGTTCCAGGGTCAATATGTGTCATACAAGTACCTAGGAACACACTATTTGTCTTAGGAAATGTCAAGTATCAAAATGTCAAAATATATGTGCAAGCATCACACAAATACACATAACACCCTCGTTCATGTAACACCCTCCCATGATAACCCTAGTCCATGTAACACCCTCCTTTGATAACCCTTGTCCATGTAACACCCTCCCTTGATAACCCTAGTCCATGTAACACCCTCATTCATGTAACACCCTCCCTTGATAACCCTCATTCATGTAACACCCTCCCTTTATAACCCTCATTCATGTTCCGGTAATGCCCCCTCTTGGTAGCCCTTATTAATGAAATGCCCTCCCTTGATAACCCTGATTCATGTTCCGGAAATACCGTACCTTGGTAACCCTGAATCATGTAATTCCTTCCTTTGATAACCCTCATTTATGTAATGCCCTCCTTGGGTAACCGTTATTTATGTAATTCCCTCCCTTGGTAACCCTCAATCATGTAAATATAACCCTCTCGTGTATACAGTACATTCAACCCTCTTTTAAGAATTTGTATAAATTACTATCATTCACGTACATGTGTTTGATAAAATTAACTAAGAAAACAGTGCACTTGACTTTCATCTTGCATACAACCATACACTCGTAACATATTTAATGTTTAAAATTACATAATGGATAGAGCCTGTAATATTTGAAATTATATAACAGAGTCTATAACATAAAACCCTAATAATTCAAATACATAGCTGTGTTTCTCCCATAACTACTATAAAGTTTCAGCATCCCCCAAAAAGTGTTACAATTCAGTGTGAAATAACATCAGATGGCCTAAGTTTGAATGCTTTATTTCCGTCTAAGCTACGGCAGAAAAAAAGGAGTCATTTTTAGACCGTTATCATTTCTTGTTGAATATATTAAAACCACACTCATTATTAAGTGTTACTGATATTCTCTAAATCGATGGTATTTAGTGTTACTCATATCTGCATGTATATAAACAGATCATAGTCATCTCTTGTTAAATATCTTTATAAACTTGTCATAATCATTCCTGTTGGATATCTATGTAAAATATTCTTAGTATTCTGTGTTATTGATATCCTTTATATAAATTTTGTTTGATATATACCATTCCCTTGTTTCAACTTATTGCTACTTTGTGTAGGTATCTTTAAATACATTTCCTTGTATTCATCCATTATTAATTACCTCTATATAAACCATTCCTCTATCATCGATTGCTTCAAGTAGGAAATCTGTTTCAATTTATAGGATTTCACTACAGCAATGATAAATTTGACTTACATTCGCGATTGATGCAACTGGAATCACTAGTAAGCCCTGCTCCCACGAACATTTCAGTACATGGCACTGATTTAGCAGTTAGTTTGACATCAACTAGTAAGCCCTGCTCCCTCGAACATTTCAGTACATGGCACTGATGAAGCAGTTAGTTTGACATCAACTAGTGAGCCCTGCTCCCACGAACATTTTAGTACACGGCACTGATGTAGCAGTTAGTTTTACATCAACTAGTAAGCCCTGCACCCACGAACATTTCAGTACATGACACTGATGTAGCAGTTAGTTTCACATCAACTAGTAAGCCCTGCTCGCACGAACATTTTAGTACACGGCACTGATGTAGCAGTTAGCTTGACATTAACTAGTAAGCCCGGCTCCCACGAACATTTCAGTACGTGGCACTGATGTAGCAGTTAGGTTGACATCAACTAGTAAGCCCTGCACCCACGAACATTTCAGTACATGACACTGATGTAGCAGTTAGTTTGGCATCAACTAGTAAGCCCTGCTCCCACAAACATTTCAGTACCTGGCACACAAGTGTGTGTACCTTGTTGCCATGGTCGTTACTATACAAGTGTGTGTACCTTGTATAGTAACGACCATGGCAACAAGTGTGTGTACCTTGTCGTTGTAATGACCATGGCTACATCAGTGCCATGTACTGAAATGTTCGTGGGAGCAGGGCTTACTAGTTTGACATCAACTAGTAAGCCCTGCTCCCACGAACATTTTAGTACACGGCACTGATGTAGCAGTTAGTTTGACATTAACTAGTAAGCCCTGCTCCCACGAACATTTCAGTACCTGGCACTGATGCAGCAGTTAGTTTGACATCAACTAGTAAGCCCTGCTTCCACGAACATTTCAGTACATGGCACTGATGTAGCAGTTAGTTTGACATCTGTGATTGACCCCCACACTTGCACAGTAAAAAAATGTCTATGAAGCATTTATTCTTTGAAAAAAAATCTGCATCACAACAAACACCGCTCAATATGCTTTCATATACGGTATAGCTGGTACGGCTGACCGTCCCTATTATTGTTGCGTCACCATCATGATCCCCCAATTGCTGACTGCTCTAAGCCTGTACATGATAATATATATCACAATATCTGCTTAGAATTAACATGCGATACATACTCAAGTAAAATGAACATTAATATCAATCAAATCTCATTTTCTAACTTACACAAACCTGAACTCTAGTTAGAATACACCCATATCAACCCTTCATACAAAATCATATCACTTTATGTCACTTTGAACATCATAACTTATTAACTAAAAATTCAGTTGATTTGCAGTTAAAACACACACTTATTACATAAAGTTCTGTGAGTTCTGGCCGGGGTGTTTTTTTACTAGGATTCGGATCCTATACACCAATACACATAGATAAGGTTACATCGTAACTCAGTGAAGAGGTTTACCCAACAAACACATACATTATGCCCAAAGTAAAGATATAACCTTTACAAAAATGTACATCATATTAAATACATCAAAATCTAATCAAGTAAAAACAATGTATTATATACACTGATACGATCTATACCGTCACAATAAATCGTACTATAAAACACACGCCCTCCTACTTTCACTCGCTCTCAAACAATCACATTCACTCAGAAACATCTCGCATTCTTCCACACTTTAACAAACAAGTCACACTTATAAAGTTACAAACAGGGCTTTGACAACGAGCCAGTAACATTTGTGAAACCATTGACAGAGACCAGTGCCTCTATAACATTGCTGATATTTTGATACATTGTAGTACAGTGGGACCTTCATTGTTTGGACAAAGTGGTTTCAAAATAACACATGAAATATTCAAACTTCCTTAAATTTAGTTCGTGTATACAGAAGTTAAAGAAAAATCTGTTTTAACTGATTTATATTGAGCAAATAAGGATAATATCATCTTCTAAACAGTTATAGGTCATAATTGTATCGGTGGGATTATTATTTGAAAATGTTTAAAGATCTAATCTATCACAAATAAAATTCAACAGAGAAGTCTGTGACATTCCTACAGAAAAACAACTATTGCACACAAAAAACAAGTCAAAGTAGATGTGATTTCATCACAAAAATTACCGCAATGACAGTATCTAAGTATCTGAAAAACATACACTCATGAAAACAGTAACCTACAGCCCTGTAAACAGTAACCTGTATTCCTGTAACAGTACGCTCCTATAACCAGCCAGTACCAGCCACTACAAAAGTATAACATCTACTACAATGGAGACAAACCTCACAGGATGTGTGACATACATTATAAATATAAACTCAGAATTCTATAAATAGCTATGGACTAGACATAAAGATTCCAGTCTGGAATGCACCAAACATAGAACAGATTTAATGAATTTGTGGAGTGGTAGTATTTAAGTTTTTATTGAACAGATGTAAATGTCATAAGTCAATAAATAGTTATACAGGATTTTGTCTGTTTTATGTTAGCACTAGTCTAGCGAAAGGCAGATTAGACTGTACGATGTGTCTAAACGGGAAATTGGCAAGTAAAATAATACCTTTAACCGATATTTTAATAAAGGATCCAGAGATAAAAAAAGCAGTTATAAGGAACATGCTTATTTAATATAAATATATTTATTTTTAATTCTTGCTTGTAAGAATGTCACATGCTTGCTCCCTATCATAAGAAATGTTCACATGAATCATACATTATACATTTTCCATAATGAATTTTGGCTAACTGAAATAATTTCTGAAGATCTCCTAGAGTTAATTATAAGTAAATTTTACTAGGTAACTAAAGGGTACAAATAACAGTAATTAACTTAAGGGTAATTGTAAGGGGAGATAATTGGAGAGTACTTGTAAGGGGAGATAATTGGAGAGTACTTGTAAGGGGAGATAATTGGAGAGTACTTGTAAGGGGAGATAATTGGAGAGTACTTGTGAGTGGAGATAATTGGAGAGTACTTGTGAGTGGAGATAACATCCTGTTTGGGTATTTGTTAGGGGAGTTAAACAACAACAAAAGTGACACTAACATATCATACACTTATTTTATTACATCTTTCAAACAAAGGAATTTATTATGCATGAAACATCTCAAAGTTAATGAAGAAATGATCATAAAATGGGACTAGGAAGCTTTGGACTGCAGGGATACTAATGTCAAGTTTAATGAGGAGGGAGTGGAATGCTGATTCAAATCTAACATCACATTATATAAGGATTCTCAAAAAAAATCCAACATTTAACTCCACCACCTCCTGCCAGTATATTTGTTCCGATTCCAACATCATAGTAACACAGGAAGTTCTCAGTGTAGCAACAAGTACTATTACTGTAGCGATTCTACCTAATGACACATGTGATATCGTACCTGTCCGCTATAAAGAACTGTTTGTAATTGATATGTTCTGTTAACTATTTAGTCCTTTGCTTTAGTTATCAAAGTAAAGCTCACTTGCTTTTAGTAACATTTAGTAACTTTTAGTAACATTAAGTAAGAAATAATCATTGAAGACCCCTGATATCTTTTGATTTATGTCCTAATACAAATTGTTATCCAGGTCCCTCAGCCATCGAAATAAAATAAACAAAACAATACTGCCAGAAATATACTTCACTGAAAAACACTGCTCCTAACTCACATTTCACAGCAAAACACTTATTTTAGTTAACTGTTTATCAAAAACAAGAAGAGCTTAGCCTCTTTAGTTAAGCAGCCTATTTTCAGCTAAAATTTGCAATACTGTGAATAAGCTGGATTTACACAGAAAAAAGGGAAATTTGTGCCAAAAACCACTGACCTGGGCCGTTTTCGTTTAAACAGTTGAACCGGTCGGACCACAGTTGTTTATTTATTAAATAAGGTCAGACCTAGTAATCTGATGCTGCTTTCAGGCGAGCCTTGACAAAGCCTTGCAATAACATTTGCAGGTCCGCCAGGATTTATACCCGAAATTGTTTCATTTAAAAACGGACGAACCAGTTGTTCCACATAAACAAACAGGCCCCAGATAATGGCACACCACACTGTGTAGACTGGATTAACATAATTTTGCTGATTCTGTCCTATTCTTCAAACTACATAATTTAACAGGTATCTAGAATCAAACACCTGTTGGATAGGTATCTAGAATCAACACCTGTCTGATAGGTATCTAGAATCAAACACCTGTTGGATAGTTATCTAGAATCAAACACCTGTTGGATAGGTACAAACACCTGTTGGATAGGTATCTAGAATCACACATCTGTTGGATAGGTATCTAGAATCAAACACCTGTTGGGTAGGTATCTAGAATCAAACACCTGTTGGATAGTTATCTAGAATCAAACACCTGTTGGATAGGTATCTAGAATCACACATCTGTTGGATAGGTATCTAGAATCAAACACCTGTTGGGTAGGTATCTAGAATCAAACACCTGTTGGATAGGTATCTAGAATCACACATCTGTTGGATAGGTATCTAGAATCAAACACCTGTCTGATAGGGATCTAGAATCAAACACCTGTTGGATAGGTATCTAGAATCAAACACCTGTTGGATAACTTGTTGTTAACTTTTCTCTGGTGTTATGATCAATATAATCTTACTTCACTCTTCAGATGTGGGAAAGTAACGTCGGATGGCAGATACCAAATGTCGACATGAATGACATTTAAAATTGACATGTGCTTTTGGGATTTCCCAACTAACATTGCAGTGTCATATATATAAAATGGTCAATAAAGAATATGCTAAACATCAACTTATTTCTTTTAGGCCCAAGTAAAGCTAGATATAGGTCCTGTAGTATATATAGCTGTAGTGGTTGAAGACTCTGTAGTATAGCTGTAGTATAGCTGTAGTGGTTTAAGACTCTGTAGTATAGCTGTAGTGGTTGAAGGCTCTGTAGTATAGCTGGAGTGGTTGAAGGCTCTGTAGTATAGCTGGAGTGGTTGAAGGCTCTGTAGTATATCTGTAGTATAGCTGTAGTGATTGACGGCTCTGTAGTATAGCTGTAGTGGATGAAGGCTCTGTAGTATAGCTGTACTATAGCTGTAGTTATTGAAGGCTCTGTAGTATAGCTGGAGTGGTTGAAGGCTCTGTAGTATATCTGTAGTATAGCTGTAGTGGTTTAAGACTCTGTAGTCTAGCTGTAGTGGTTGAAGGCTCTGAAGGTAGCTGTAGTGGTTGAAAGCTCTGTAGTATAGCTGTAGTGTTTGAAGGCTCTGTAGTATAGCTGGAGTGGTTGAAGGCTCTGTAGTATATCTGTAGTGGTTGAAGGCTCTGTAGAATAGCTGTAGTGGTTGAAGGCTCTCTAGTATAGCTGTAGTATAGCTGTACTATAGCTGTAGTTATTGAAGGCTCTGTAGTATAGCTGTACTATAGCTGTAGTTATTGAAGGCTCTGTAGTATAGCTGGAGTGGTTGAAGGCTCTGTAGTATAGCTGTTGTATAGCTGTAGTGGTTGAAGGCTATGTAGTATAGCTGTCGTGGTTGAAGGCTCTGTAGTATATCTGTAGTATAGCTGTAGTGGTTGGAGGCTCTGTAGTATAGCTGTAGTGATTGAAGGCTCTGTAGTATAGCTGTAGTGGTTGAAGGCTCTGTAGGTAGCTGTAGTGGTTGAAAGCTCTGTAGTATAGCTGTAGTGATTGAAGGCTCTGTAGTATAGCTGTAGTATAGCTGTAGTATAGCTGTAGTTATTGAAGGCTCTGTAGTATAGCTGTAGTGGTTTAAGGCTCTGTAGTATAGCTGTAGTGGTTGAAGGCTCTGTAGTATAGCTGTAGTGATTGAAGGCTCTGTAGTATAGCTGTAGTATATCTGTAGTGATTGAATGCTCTGTAGTATAGCTGTAGTGGTTTAAGGCTCTGTAGTATAGCTGTAGTATAGCTGTAGTGGTTTAAGGCTCTGTAGTATAGCTGTAGTGGTTGAAGGCTCTGTAGTATAGCTGTAGTATAGCTGTAGTGATTTAAGGCTCTGTAGTATAGCTGTAGTGGTTGAAGGCTCTGTAGTATAACTGTAGTAAATATCTGCTGTATGGCTACCTAATCACTTCCACTTAGATTTCATTTAAGAAAGTTGGACTAGAATAGATCAAACCCTAAGTTGATAATCCTTTAAAGTTTGGACCATGTTTCTTAGTGATGACTATACAATCTTCTTGTTGACTTACTCCAGTTTAAACCAGTCCATGTAAGGTTAAACCAGTCCATGTAAGGTTAAACCAGTCCATGTAAAGTTTAACCAGTCCATGTAAGGTTAAACCAGTCCATGTAAGGTTTAACCAGTCCATGTAAGGATGGTGTCTCCAGTGTTAAATGTTTAATCCACGTAAAAGTGACGCCTCCAGTACAATGTGGAACTCGTCCAGCGTGCCCAGGATGTGTACGAGGTAGTTGGTCAGGCTAGGATCACGGAAGAATGAGTGTTCTTCAAACATAGTGGCTGTCACTGGTGTGTTGGCAATCAGAGGAAGCATTTTCTGTATCACATGGTCCCTGTGGAGGACAAAAGCATGTTGACTTACAAGACTCAGCATACTGAATACTTGAATTAATATTACTACCCCTTCTCCACTTAGTGGTGGGTTTGAGGCCTACATGGGGCTATCTCTAGGTCCTGGTTGCAATTTTTTTCTAAAGGTACTCCTGTTTTCCTCCACCACCGAAACCTACTTCATCCTTAAATGACCGTAGCTATTAACAGGATGTAAAGCAAATACAAACTGAACCAAACCCCACCTGTCTATATACAGTACACATATATTCCATGTGGAACACTTCTGCAGAATGTGCCTTACATGATCCCACTTAGCCACTTCCTGTTTGAGAACTACATTTGTCCTAATCCTGACAAGGAAGCACATTTTACCAAGGTTAACAATTTTCAGTATAATGAATGCTGAACTTCTAAAATGTGACATCTTGTCAATATGATATGAGACCAAAGTTAATTGTCATTTAGATGAAAGGAAGTATATCTATGGTCAAAACAGTCTGCAGCAGACATAGCCTCATGGATATAAACAGTTATTCAACAAGCTTACATTGAAAGTTTTAAAAGACCATTTTCATCTCTAAGTACACATCTGGTAAACCATTTTTCTGCTTTGTTCTGGGTAAATTTATCTGAAATAACTATCATGCTTATTGTTGCGTTTTCAATGTCTCTTTTGTCTTTTTACAAACAAACAAAAATCTTTCTGATGGGATATCTAACGTTGGTTATTATTAACAGACATATGCTCACCTGATGCCCACACAAACAAAGATCTGGAACTTTCCATCCTTGCCCACAGTCTCTGCAGCACTGTTGATCTTACTAAGGATGTTACAGAAGAGCCAGTAGCCAGCTTTGGCTCCCTCTGACATTGGGCGTCTCACTTCTCCACTTAATACACACTCAAAGTGGCCCTTCACCTTCTCTGTAATACAGACAACAGTTCAGGTCAAATCAGTCACTGTGTCAATGTAGTACAGACAACAGTTCAGGTCAAATCAGTCACAGTGTCAATGTAGTACAGACAACAGTTCAGGTCAAATCAGTCACTGTGTCAATGTAATACAGACAACAGTTCAGGTCAAATCAGTCACTGTGTCAATGTAATACAGACAACAGTTCAGGTCAAATCAGTCACGGTGTCAATGTAATACAGACAACAGTTCAGGTCAATCACAGTGTCAATGTAATACAGACAACAGTTCAGGTCAAATCAGTCACGGTGTCAATGTAATACAGACAACAGTTCAGGTCAATCACAGTGTCAATGTAATACAGACAACAGTTCAGGTCAAATCAGTCACGGTGTCAATGTAATACAGACAACAGTTCAGGTCAATCACAGTGTCAATGTAATACAGACAACAGTTCAGGTCAAATCAGTCACGGTGTCAATGTAATACAGACAACAGTTCAGGTCAATCACAGTGTCAATGTAATACAGACAACAGTTCAGGTCAAATCAGTCACGGTGTCAATGTAATACAGACAACAGTTCAGGTCAATCACAGTGTCAATGTAATACAGACAACAGTTCAGGTCAAATCAGTCACGGTGTCAATGTAATACAGACAACAGTTCAGGTCAATCACAGTGTCAATGTAATACAGACAACAGTTCAGGTCAAATCAGTCACGGTGTCAATGTAATACAGACAACAGTTCAGGTCAATCACAGTGTCAATGTAATACAGACAACAGTTCAGGTCAAATCAGTCACGGTGTCAATGTAATACAGACAACAGTTCAGGTCAATCACAGTGTCAATGTAATACAGACAACAGTTCAGGTCAAATCAGTCACGGTGTCAATGTAATACAGACAACAGTTCAGGTCAATCACAGTGTCAATGTAATACAGACAACAGTTCAGGTCAAATCAGTCACGGTGTCAATGTAATACAGACAACAGTTCAGGTCAATCACAGTGTCAATGTAATACAGACAACAGTTCAGGTCAAATCAGTCACGGTGTCAATGTAATACAGACAACAGTTCAGGTCAATCACAGTGTCAATGTAATACAGACAACAGTTCAGGTCAAATCAGTCACGGTGTCAATGTAATACAGACAACAGTTCAGGTCAATCACAGTGTCAATGTAATACAGACAACAGTTCAGGTCAAATCAGTCACGGTGTCAATGTAATACAGACAACAGTTCAGGTCAATCACAGTGTCAATGTAATACAGACAACAGTTCAGGTCAAATCAGTCACGGTGTCAATGTAATACAGACAACAGTTCAGGTCAATCACAGTGTCAATGTAATACAGACAACAGTTCAGGTCAAATCAGTCACGGTGTCAATGTAATACAGACAACAGTTCAGGTCAATCACAGTGTCAATGTAATACAGACAACAGTTCAGGTCAAATCAGTCACGGTGTCAATGTAATACAGACAACAGTTCAGGTCAATCACAGTGTCAATGTAATACAGACAACAGTTCAGGTCAAATCAGTCACGGTGTCAATGTAATACAGACAACAGTTCAGGTCAATCACAGTGTCAATGTAATACAGACAACAGTTCAGGTCAAATCAGTCACGGTGTCAATGTAATACAGACAACAGTTCAGGTCAATCACAGTGTCAATGTAATACAGACAACAGTTCAGGTCAAATCAGTCACGGTGTCAATGTAATACAGACAACAGTTCAGGTCAATCACAGTGTCAATGTAATACAGACAACAGTTCAGGTCAAATCAGTCACGGTGTCAATGTAATACAGACAACAGTTCAGGTCAATCACAGTGTCAATGTAATACAGACAACAGTTCAGGTCAAATCAGTCACGGTGTCAATGTAATACAGACAACAGTTCAGGTCAATCACAGTGTCAATGTAATACAGACAACAGTTCAGGTCAAATCAGTCACGGTGTCAATGTAATACAGACAACAGTTCAGGTCAATCACAGTGTCAATGTAATACAGACAACAGTTCAGGTCAAATCAGTCACGGTGTCAATGTAATACAGACAACAGTTCAGGTCAATCACAGTGTCAATGTAATACAGACAACAGTTCAGGTCAAATCAGTCACGGTGTCATTGTAATACAGACAACAGTTCAGGTCAATCACAGTGTCAATGTAATACAGACAACAGTTCAGGTCAATCACAGTGTCAATGTAATACAGACAACAGTTCAGGTCAAATCAGTCACGGTGTCAATGTAATACAGACAACAGTTCAGGTCAGTCACGCCGTCAATGATAACAGGCTTTTCCTGTTTCCAGATAGCAGGGCTAATACTTTAGTAGCATTAACATCTAATGTGCTTTATGAAAAGTGAATGTTCTACTGTTCAATGTTCAAACAAGATTATCACACTACATACTTCATACAGCATCTATTTAGACTGTTATATCAATGTAACAATGTACTTGTGGCCAAAGGAGTATTCAATATCAAAATAGGAACAGTAACAATCCCATGACTGACTTTGACAATTCCAGGAAATATGACTTACCTAGACAATAATGTGACCTCTCCCGACCATCACATCACCTAATTATATAACTAGACAATCATGTGACCTACCTAAGAATAAGACTCTCCATGATAACAACATGACGTTTCTAGGTAATCACAAGACTTACCTAGATAATCCCAGATGAAGAACTTGTTCCTAAAGAGTCGTGAGGATCGGAAACCACTCTGGAAAACCAGCTCCATACAGTGTACCAATCCCCGGTCCCCACATAGCAGGAAAGTCAGGCTGCCACGCTACATAACAATGTACTCATAGGAACAATTTATAATTCTTACATACTTAGAAGTGGTGACAATAAAGGATGAATTCTTATGAGGGCCAGGTGTATTTCTAACAAGGGGACCAAGGGGAACATAAGAAATGGTGTTAACAAAATTCAACAAGAGGCCCAAGGGCCTTAGCGGTCACCTGAGTTATATCATAGATACTGGTAGCTTTATTTTATTGTTTAGATGTGATGTGGAAATCAGCATGTAAACTAAGTGAAATACAATACTTGTCATGTCATCAATGGATAAGAATTTGAAAATATTGGTAAATGTTCCCTTTGGGGCCCCGCCCTAGCCCCTGGGGATGGGGCAGGAATCCTAATTTTACAAAGTAAAACTCTCATTTACCCAAGATGATTCTGACTAAGTTTGAGCAATTTTCTGCTGAAAATGGATAAAATATATACCGAAAAGTGTTATTTCCCTATATAAACTATAT